AAGGGAAGGGAGGCGAAGGGAAAAGAAGGGAAGGGAAGGGAAGGGAAGGGAAGGGAAGGGAAGGGAAGGGAAGGGAAGGGAAGGGAAGGGAAGGGAAGGGAAGGGAAGAAAGGAAGGGAAGGGAAGGGAGGAAGGGAGGAAGGAAGGCAGGAAGGAAGGAAGGAGGAAGGAAGGGAGGAAGGAAGGAAGGAAGGAAGGAAGGAAGGAAGGAAGGAGGAAAGAAAGAAAGAAGAAAGGGAAGGAAGGAAGGAAGAAAGGAAGGAAGGAAGGTGGAAGGAAGAAAGGAAGGGAAGGAAGGAAGAAAGAAAGGAAAGGAAGGAAGGAAGGAGGAAGGAAGGAAGGGATGGAAAGAAGAAAGAAAGGAAGGGAAGGAAGGAGGAAGGAAGGGAGTAAGAGAGGAAGGAAGGAAGGAAGGAAGGAAGGAAGGAAGGAAGGAAGGAAGAGAGGAAGGGAGGAAGAAAGAAAGGAAGGGAAGGAAGGAAGAAAGAAAGGAAGGAAGGAGGAAGGAAGAAAGGAAGGGAAGGAAAGAAGAAAGGAAGGAAGGAAGGAGGAAGGAAGGGAGGAAGGGAGGGAGGAAGGAAGGAAGGAAGGAGGAAGAAAGGGAAGAAGGGAGGAAGGAAGGGAGGAAGAAGGAAGGGAGGAAGGGAGGAAGGAGGAAGGAAGGCAGGAAGGAAGGAAGGAAGGAAAGAAGGAAGTAAAGAAGGAAGGAAGGAAGGGAGGGAGGAAGGGGAAAAAAGGAGGATGGGAGGAAGGAAGGATGAGAAAACAGCACCTCTTTCTCTATTTGTCCCTTCCACCTTCTAGAAAAATTGTCACCACAAGGATTTAAGTATTTGAGGAGGGATTCATTCAAAAGGAGCCTTCCAGGCATGCAGTGCACAACCTGCACAAAGAAGCAATGGTTCTATGTTGACCCCTGTCTCATTGGGGAACTCTGCACCATTCAGCAGGATCTGCTCATGAGTGTCCACTTAACCAACATCTGAGCCAGCTTTGACACAGAAGGGAACCTTGTCAGTTCACATAGAACTTGGCAGTCATTTCTGGTGTTAACCAGATCTGGGATATGAGAGGCTAGGAGGGAGTTCTGAGGGCTCCTTAGAGGCTTTGTCTGTTCAGCTCTGTGGTTTTAATATTACCTTCCAGTCCTCACACTTCCCTGGATCATGCTCAGTCTTTGGGCAGGTCTCTGTATTCCCAGTCTTTCCTAACCCCAGGCTCCTGGAGTCTCTTGCTTTGATGGATCTTAAACTGCTGTGTTTTCCTGAATGCATTTTGCTTATGTCAAATGTGAAATAAAGTTCCTGGTATATTTGTTAGCTCTGGGATCAGGCCTGGGGTCTCCTTTTCAACAGCCAGAAAAGAAACCTTAAATGGTTCATTTTTCAAGTAGTCTAAATTAGACCACAATGTTTTGGTGGTGATGAGTGGGGTTTTAGCTACTGATTTAATTAACTTTATAATTTAACAACATAATCCTCTTATTGAAAAAGAAGAGAAAAACAAAACCTTTCAGGCCTCCTTCCTCTTCTTGTCATTGTCATATTACTCTGCCACTATCACACTGTTCCTCAAAAGAGTGGTCTAACCCCCCTTTTCTCCGACCTGGACAAGCTACTCCTGGGACAGGGGGGATGGTCTTCCTTCCTCACCAGTCCATGGAAGGATGCTCTCTCAGAGGCCACTAATGGCTTTCCAGTGGTCCAATCCAGGAAACTTGTAAATCATCATCTTACCTGACCATTTCAAATCTTTCTTTTCCTTTTGATTTGGTCGTTATAATGTTTCAATTCTCTTTCCATTTCTCTGACTGCATTTTCACTATTGCTTTGGCAATGTCTTCTGCCTAGAGGTACACATTGATGTTCTATGGGGTCCCCTCTATCTGCCTGTCTTTTGCTCACCTCCTCTTGGATGCCCCTGGAACATCTCAGGATTAGTGTGTCCAGAGGAGGAGAGAGGGAGAGAGAAAAGAAATTCAGTAAAGTGGAAGTGAGATAGGATTTCCACACCTGCCTACATTGAAAAGCTAAAAATAGGAACATTTGGGGGAAAAAACAGTGAGAAATTTTTTTCAATTCTAATGACATGAGCTATAAGAATGGAGATTTGCAGAGAAAGCTGTGTTTCTAACTCAGTACAAGTTCAGAATAGGTTAGAAAAAATATATAAATATTTTGTGTATCCCAGCCTTAATTTTTTCCCTTTCCCTTCAAGCTTGTTCTCTATATTTTCCCCTATATCAAAACCTCTTCTTTAGGAAAGAATCTAATACTTGTCCACATAAGTTTAATATGGTAATTTTACACATTAGCCTAAGCTCATATCTGAAGTCAAAGATGCTTAAATGAACCAGCCATTTTAAAAAATCTATATAATCCAGTGTACCCAGCACAGGGCTAACCATAATATATTCAATAATATTTATTAAAAGTTGTTAAAAAGCATTATTTATATTATGGAAACAATCTAAATATTCAACAATGGGGGAGTATAACCATGATATGGAGAAATACTATATAACTATAAAAAGATTTCAAACATTTTTTACTGACCCGGGGAAACGCTTATAATGAAATGTTGAGGAAAATACACAGGATTCAAATTGCTACTACTGTCAATTAAAGCAAGACACCCATGAAAAGCACACGTGGTGTCAAAACATGCCAGAAGAAAATCATCTGGGCAAAAAATGAAAAAGGATCCCAAGTCAAATTTATAGAAAATATTCCTTTATTAACTTTTGGTCGAGAATGTTTGTATATTTTCAGAAAACAACTCTGAGACCATGTGGATTCTGGCAACAGAGAGGAATTGACAGGACTACTCCAACCATGAAGACAGAAGAGAAGCATTCCAGAGATGACAACACCTTGCCATAATAGCAGACAGCAGCTGTGTATCAAAGCAGGTTGCCCAGGACCAAACCAGAGAGGTTTGGACCTGCATTACCACCATTTGCCCACCATTGAGAACTGAAATATCATTGCTGACACGTACACATAAGGAACTGTTTGACATTGAAATTGGGTCTCAAAAGAACTGGTGGCCAGAAAGAAACTCACTACAGATTGATACATAAGCCTTTCAGCATAACGATTATTGTTTGTCTCATTTTTTATTCTTGTAAGTATAATTCCAATATGACATGATTTCACTCATCTAGGGGAAATGGTGAACAACATAGATTATTGAACAAGAACAGCCCCAGAGATAAGGAGCCATGGGTCAGATTGTTGGACCTCAAAGGGAGGGTGAGGATAAAAGGGAGAGATCAACCAAAGGACTTATGTGCATGCATATGAGCCTAACCAGTGGTCAAGGACAATAGGGGGGGTGGGGGTGCGGTGGGGAATTGGAATGGGGGGGGGACAAATATGGGATACCTTAATCAATAAAGGAATTTTAAAAAATAATATGCATATACAAAAGACTGAGAAAATATGTGGGTATCTCTGGAATCTTCTGTCCAAAATGCAAATGTAATTGGTATTTAGTTCCTTCTTTCTACTTTTCTGTATTTATGACTTACTTGTAATTGGTATGAGCTAAATGTTACAAAAGTAAACATTGTGGAAGACTGATTTTCAAGAAATGCTTTTCAGGGTTGTGCTCTGTGGCCTGTTGGGTCTGGTACATGGAGAAGAGACACCAGCCGCTCCAGCTGGCCAGCAGAGGATGGGTTTTAAAGGGGGCACAGCAATGGGAGGCCTGCCCTTTGAAGAAAAGGTGAGTATGCCAGGATGTTGATGCATTGGTGCTTGGCACTTGGGCAGCCTTCCCCCAGGAGGGCTCCCCTGTGCTTGGCTGTCAAGCTGTCCCCCCTCACCTTTTGTTCCGTAAATAGTCAAGGCTTGCTCAGGTTCTGAAACATGTTTATTTTCACCCTGCTTCCCCATCCTCTTCTGTCCAAAACGCAGCTGTAAGAGTAATTGAACACTTTGTGCTGGTGCCCCAGTGATATTCTACATGAATATCTTCAAGAATTGAGGTTATGTGTCCTTGCAAGAAAATACTAGTTAACAGCATGCCTATATCATAAAACCTACACAAACAGGACTTGGGGATATTCATAAAGAGAACACATATTTCCACCTTTAGAAATCCTTTCCTTCAGTTATTTCTGGAAATTCCTTCTAAACATCTGCATTTGCTTTTAACTTAAATTGCTTCCCACCTCTCTCCCCTGAACTCTGTTGCTTCCCTGTAGGAGAGCAAACTTCATGGCCCATGTAAACAACAAACAAACAAAAACAAAACAAGACCCTGCAACAGCAGTCCCTATCCCTCTCCTAATTTCTAATTTCCTGTATTTAAAAAATATATATCCTAGACTTTCCTTGTGTTTCAAGGATTTTAGGATCTCTAATGGAGAGATTAAAAAACACACACACACACTTTGAAAACCTAAGGACACCTACAATTTTGTTTTTATTATTTGCTAGTTATTAAAATATCCAACCTCCTGACTATGGAAGGTTGGATGGCAGGAGGGACCGGAGGCGTGGGGGAGAAGGGTGGAAAAAAGAAATCCCAGCTCCTGCCTATTGGACCATGCGTGAAAGAGCCCGCTTCCTCGGGCAGGCTGCTCCAGGCCGCGTTTTGCAGGCGGCCGCATCTGCCTCCCGGGTCTCTTACCTCCCTGATGCTCGGCACTATTTGTGGCCGGCGTGGTGGAAGGACACAGTGAGGTTCTCACCCCCGCCCTCCGCCCCCCGCTCCCATCCCGAGTTCCATCAAAGCAAAGCCGGGCCAGCGCAAGGATCTCCGAGTGGCGAGTGTGCTGAGGCTGGGACTGTCACTCATTCTCCCCTCAGCTCGTGAACGCAGCTCGGCGGCCGCTGGCAGGAAACAATTCTGCAAAAATAATCATACTCAGCCCGGCGATTGTCTGCCTCTAGGTCTGTGGCTCCGACGCCGTCCACACTCGCTGCAAGCAAGGAGCGGGGGGCACAGAATTGACCGCGGCAAGAACAACCCTTCCCAGCCAGCAGATTACAATGCTGCTAACTAAGGATCTCATCTGGACTTTGTTTTTCCTGGGAACTGCAGGTACATTTACAAAAAAAAAATTATTCTTCTTAATCCGAATTGATCATTGCCTTCGTCTTCCTACTGCTCTCCCGAGGGGCACTGCTATTTCGGGTGGTTTTTGCGGAGAATGCTAAGGGAGCTCCTCTCAGTGGAGCTGGGGAAGGAGCGCATCGCCCTGGCTGGCTGTCCTGCCGAACCCGCGCCCTGTCTGTCGGGCTGCGGTGGAGCCGGGCTGCCTCCCCGCGCAGCGAGAGCCCCGCGCCCCTCCAGCCGCCCGTCCTTCCCCTCAGTGTGCCGGGCGATGGAAGCGGAGCCGCCGGCTCCCAGGGATGCTGCGACTGCCCATCTTCATGGGCAGCGCTCCTTCCCCGATGGCGGGCGGCAGGGGATGCCGGGGCTCCTCGGAGCCACCGCACAGACTGGGGTTCCGCTGGGCAGGGGCTTGTCAGCTGGAGCTCCAGGAAAAGAGTGAACAATAAAGCCCGGGGTAGTCACCCCGATCGTTATTTTCCCCCAGGTCTAATAAAGTGGGGCTCCCTGCCCCCCCCCGCCCTCCTCCAGTTGGGGGGCGAATAACGGTTTGCAAAATGGGGCGACATAGGCGGAACCTCAGGGCTGTGTGGCCATCCTTGCACCCCGATAGATATGACGTTCGTTTTTATTTTTATTTATTTTTTTATTTACCAAATTGCTGGTTAGTTGCAAAGCCTGCCTTTGCCCCAGAGCTCGGAGGGCTGGGAGGGTCGGCGCCGCGTTTTGACAGGAGGAAGTGCGGAGGGGCGGAGGGCGAGGAGGGCGTGAGCCGGGCTTCCCGGTGAGTGTGCGCGTGTGCGCGCCCGTGTGCCTCCACACGCACCGAGGGCCCCCGCGTGCACGGGTGCGAGAGAAGAATGGCAGGTAGCCACCCGCGGCGCCTCGCCCCAGTCTCTCCTTTCTTCGGGCGAGGCTCCTGGTCCCTGCGAAGTGCGAACAATAGGGAGCTGGGAGGAGGAAGACAGTAGCTATAGTGCCGCGGGGCGGGGAGGGGTCCGCGCCGCCGCCCTGCGAGCCTCCGCGGCCGGGAGGAGGGGTTCTTTCATTGGGGGTGTTTCCTTCTGGCCCCCCTGGAAGACGCTCGTGTTCGTGCCCACCCTCCCCTCCAACCCCTCCTTCTCCTTCCCCAGCCCAGGGTTTGCTCTGGGGCGCTGATGGACGGGGAGAGGGAAGAAAGGAGCGGGCGCCGCAGAGAGCTGGGTGGGGTGGGCGGCTTCCCCGGCGGGGGGCGTGTGCGGGGGAAATGCCCTCGGAAAGCCCAGAGGAGGGGGTGCCAGGTGCCGCTGGAACTGCCCCGAGCCCGCCACCGCGGAGCCAGGCCGGGGAGAGCGGGGCGGGCCCGGGAGCACCCCGCACGCCCCCTCCCCGGGAGGCCGGGAGCAGCGCCCGGCCGCCGCCCCCCGCCGCCCGGTGCCTCCCGCGGCGGCCAATCAGAGCGGAGCTGGCTGGGCGGGAAGCCGCCAGAGGCTTTTATTGCGGCTCGGCGGCGGCCGGGCGCTGCCAGGACGGTCTTCTGGTGCTCCAGGCTAACGGTCTCGCTCATCTCCCCCCCACCCCTTCCGCCAGGAGGAACCCCGCCCTGCGACCGGTCCCCCTCCCACCCGCAGCTTCCGAGCAAATAAAATGGAGTCTAGGTGGTCACAGGGGGGTGCTCGCTCACTCGGCGTCTAGCGGCCGAATTGGAGCATCCCTCCGGCCCCCGCCGGCGTGCACACTGGCCCCCGGGCGCTCGGGGCCGGAGCGCATCCCCTCCGAGGGCGCGGTGGCCGGGGGACCGACGCGCCTGCGCTCACCAGCTAGCCCCCCGGCCTGGGCTCCGCTGGGGGCGGGGCGGCGCCGGGGAGGGTGGTGGGAGGGTGGGAGGTGGAGAAAGGCAGCCAGCTGGAGGCCAAGCCCAGTTCCCTGGTCCCTCCGTCCGGCAACCACCTGATTGGGGGATGCTCGCAGCATCCCTTTTCCTTTAGTGCGCCTGGGACACTATGGCACGACCTCCGGAAGAGAGGGTGTTTCTGGGGCCTCCTCCCTTCTAGGTGGGGACATGACAATGGGGCCCTCATCTGTGGTAGGCCCCTGGGGGGTCGCCAGGCCGTTCTTTCCATCATGGCTATGGGTGTAACGCTGGCTGTTTGGACCCCCAGGGAGGGACAGCGGCACACGCCCAGGGAATTCCAGGTTAGGATGCTCTCTGCTGCTGAGGCGAGGGTGAAACCCAGACCCAGGGTCCCTGAGAGTTTCCTCATTCCTGACTCCAGGACCAGGAGGATAGGAAGAAGGCAGGGAGTGAAACGCACAACGTTGCTAAACAAAAGAAGTTGAACGGTTTCCCAAAGAGAAAGACAGTCTCTCCACGCGCTGCCTTTGACACGTTAGATGCAGGGTATGCTATCTGAATATATGGAAGAATCAGGTCGGCTGGCCCTCTCGTATTTTGGTGTCTTCTGGTCTTGAGGAATAGAAGGAAAGGTTGTGGAATTACAGCAGTTCTGGATATTTTCTGGATTGATTGAATGACCTGGCATGGTTAAGTCATATCTTTCTTTTATAATTTTACAATCTTCTGCCAATTGAACTTGCAGGAGTCAAGGAATGAACGGGCCTGATTTTCTAAGGAGATAGCATCAAAATAAGAACAAAGAGTACCCATGCTACCTTACAAAAATAGCTGGTGCATATATGATATAGAGGGTTTTCATGCCTCTCACCATATAAAGGCACACATCAGCAGTTTGCAGTGAGCACAATTATGGGGAGCAATATTTTTTTCCTTGATTTTCATTTTAAGATCAGAAATGTGTCTTTTTGAACAAAATTTAACTGAATGCAATGAAGTCATATTTAAGAATGTGGAAAACCTTTTACAACTCTATCCAAAACCCAAAAATGTTAATTTTCCTTCAGCAAATATTAGCATATATTAAAATATTGACAATACCTTACACTTTATTTAAAATTCAGTAGAGTTAAACAGAGAATATAATCCAGACATTGTGGAAGTGTGGCCTGCCATTTATTTAATAGTTTTTGAGTTACTCTTCCCAACGCAAAGGTTCTAAAGATCTACCAATTGAATTAAGTTTTCATTAGTCTAAAACTTACTTTTTTTTTTTTTAATCCTCACCAGAAGATATGTTTGCTGATTTTAGAGGGAGAGAGAGAAACATCCATGTGAGAGAGAAACATCAATGGGTTCCCTCCCTATGAGCCCTGACCAGATCTAACTCGAAAGCCATGTATGTGCCATGACCAGAAATTTAACCTGAAACCTTTTGATTTAGGGGAAGATGCTCCAAACAACTGAGCCAACCGGTTAAGTCAATTTTCTAAGAAGCTCTCACTTCTTCCCCCAACAGATTGAACCTGTTGATTTCTTTCCAGATAACTTTACTCAGGATCTTTCTTTATTATTATTGTTGTTGTTGAAAGTATTACATATGCCCCCTTTTTTGCTCCATCAACAACCTTCAGCCAATCTCTAACCCCTACCCCAGGCCCTCAACATCCCACTGTCTCCATCCATGGGTTATGCAACTATGCATATAAGGTCTTCCTTTGATTAGTTTCCACCCACCCTCCCCCGCCTTCCCTCTGAGATTCCGGACTCTATTCCATGCTTCCATGTCCCTGGGTCCGCTCTGTTCATTAGTTTATTTAATTAGATTATATATATGAGGGAGATCATGTAATGCTTTTCTTTTTCTGACTGACTTATTTAACTTACCATGTACTCTCCAGGTCCTTCCATGCTGTCTTAAAGGGTAAGAGATTCTTCTTTTTTACTACTGCATAGTATTCCACCGTGAATATACCACAGCTTTTTTACCCACAGCTTTTTTATCCACTCATCTACTGATGGGCACTTGGGCTGTTTCCAGATCTTAGCTATTGTAAGTTGTGCTGCTATGAACATAAGGGTGCGTACATTCTTTCTGGTGTTTCAGGTTTCTTAAGATATATTCCTAGAAGTCAGATTACTGGGTCAAATGGCAGTTCCAGATTTAATGTTTTGAGGAAACTCCATACTGTTTTCCACAGTGGCTACACCAGTCTGCATTCCCACCAGCAGTGTACTAGGGTTCCCTTTTCTCCACATCCTCACCAGCACTTGTCATTTGTTGATTTGTTGATGGAGCCATTCTGACAGGTGTGAGGTGATACCTCATTGTCATTTTAAGTTGATTTGAGCATTTTTTATATGTCTCTTGGCCATCTATATATCCACTTTGGAGAAGTGCCTATTTAGGTTCTTTGCCCATTTTTTAATTGGATTGTTTGTCGTTTTTTTGTTAAGTTGTATAAGTTCTTTCTATATTTTGGATATTAACCCTTTATTGCATGTATCATTGCCAAATACAGTGAGCTTTCCCACACAGTGGGTTCTCTTTTCATTTTGTTGTTGGTTTCTTTTGCTGTGCAGAAGCCTTTTATTTTTATGTAGTCCCATTTGTTTATTTTCTCCTTAGTTTCCTTTGCCCGAGGAGATGTATCCTTAAACATATTGCTATGAGAGATGTTTGAGATTTTGCTGCCTATGGTTTCTTTTAGGATTTTTATGGTTTCACGACTTATATTTAGGTGTTTTATCCATTTTGAGTTTATTCTTGTATATGGTGTAAGTTGGTGGTATAGTTTCATTTTTTCAAGAAAAAACGATTTTAAATATAATAATATTACTTGCAATAAACATCAATATTTCAAGGAAGTGTTTTTAAATATAATTTTACCAAAATTGCACTAATATAGTATAATGTCACAAAAGTTAGAGGAAGTATTAAAAATCTGCAAATAACAGGATTACTTCTATCATATTCCAAAATATTTTTTCCTCTGGCTTTATTTTTGTTCATCATTTCATCTTGTTCATTATATTCCACAAATGAGTGAAATCATGTAATATTTATCTTTCTCCTACTGGCTTATGCCGCTTAGCATGATGCTCTCCAGGTCCATCCATGCTATTGCAAATGGTAAGAGTAGCAGCATGGTAT